TCTACCCAATTACGGAATCTCTATTGTTTGGGCAAGATTGCTCTACCTAAATTTCACTTGGACACCCAAGACCTACCCTTAAAATGTGAAAATATATATTTGTTGCAACTCCACCGTCCAGTGTTGTGCTTGATTTGTATTGTTTTCTCACAAGTTTGCTCTAGATTTGATTGGAGAACGATTTTGCTGAAGGTAAATGCTCTGCATTCATTTCATTGTGAGAATATTGAAATTTTTAACCATGCATTTCCGTTAGTCAAGTTAAAATCGAAAAAGCAAAAGGCTTGTATCAAGAAAGGTTTAAGAATTGCTTCTAGAAAATTTAGGTGTCCTCATTCCTTAAGAAAGTTTGCGCTTGATATTGATAATATATTTTATGACCTACTTCAAATAATGGATACAGGAGCATCTACAAAAAGACGATGAATCAAGCAAGGAAGATTTATTACAATGAAAGGTTGGCATCCGCATCCAATAAACAAAAAGAGTAACGACCTACGCGAAAAAAAAAATTAAGAAATATACATATTATGTGCTTCCAATTTGAAAGCAGATAATATTAATTCATACTACTGTACGATTGCTCAGGAACTGAGTATAAAAAATAGAAAATCATCTGGATGGGACGATATCTCAGTTAGGATATCTTGAATCTTCCTGACTCTGCTGTTGATGTGTTGGCGGACTACTTGAATACACTATTTCTAACATCAATAAAAATACGAGTAAAAACAACAGTTTTGAGTATCAAAACGCAAATGAATAATGAGCACAATTTTTTTTTTTTAATTTTGATGACACGTTGAATGACACATAAACAAAGGATTTGTGTGCCTCTTGGCGGACATTTTATTTTAAGTTTGAAAGCATCTTGGATAGTCTAGTTTTTTACATTAACCACACAAAATTTTGTCGATGAAAAACCATCATGTTGGTTTTGTCCAGGTAGGAACAGGTAGGAGTTTTGTCAGTAGGAAACCGGCCGTTCCTATGACATTTTGCCAGTGTAAAACACTCTACACCATTTCCAAATTCAAGCGGCAGTAAATGACATTTTAATAACCTAAATTGTAAACAAACACCAGCCTTCCTATTGGTTGAAACGTCCTACTTGGACCAGTGCGCATGCACGGAGGACATTTGATAGGTTGTAATGAAAATAACCAGTTTGTCTGTTTTTTCTTTAATGATAATTCCCCAAGTCAAAAATTTAGTAACTATGTTAGCAGCACAAGCCTTTTCTATATAAAAAAATCGAAAGCATGGACAATTTTACATTGTATTGCCAACAAAAAGACATTTTGACTTTTATCTTTAAAAAAAAAGCAGATTCTATGTTTTTTTTTTTTTTTTTTTCTTCTTTTTTAACGAACTAAAGGGGGGTGTTACAATAAATTTATCATTTACGTAACATGTTCCATCTCTTCTTATTTTCATTATAAAATCGTTTTTTTTTCCATTTCAGAATCATCCAAATTATCTGAAATATCCACAAAGTTCAAATTCAAATTCAAATTCAAATTGAAATAATACCAGTGGTGCCATCTATCCAACATGTCCGTGAAGTGCGGATATCTTACTGGTACTACCATCTAGTGCCCGATGGATTTATTTTTCAAAGTATGATTTTTGGTTAATTCGCATTTGAAAGTCATTTGTATTTTCATTGAAAGCAATTATATTTATCTCACTTTTAGCAAATGGATATATTTCTGTCCTTTTCTAACTTCTGATTCTGAAATTATCATTTTTTGGCTTAAGGCCGCGTTAATGGCCGCCATGTTTAAACTGTGATTGGTTGATTTTTCGAAACTTGTTTTAAGGTCTTTAAAAAAACGGCACATCAGAATTGGCTCAAATTTGGCATAAACATTATTTGATCGATTATCTACAATTCCTTATTTTGGTTTTTCGATATTCAGCGGTTTTTTTAAATTCAAAAATCATGTTCGCAATCACCAAAACAATTAAATGTGTTGGTGGTTGCATATTTGCATGTTTATCAAGCTTGGATCCGTGAAAAGCATATTTTATTGATAACCACGAAAAACTAAAAAAAAGCTAATTGTAGAGATTGTAGATAATACCGGGTGCCCACGAGATCATATCAACGAAACTTGGTAGGCTCGATTTTCTAACGAAATGCCATTTTTGTGCATTCATGACAAGTTTTCCTGACTTCCGGTTTCACCGGAAATTACAGATACTTCCGATTTTCAAATGGCACACCCTGTATATTTTTTGTTTTTTGGATTCTACAGATCGTTTTACGTCCTAATGTACCACTTTTAAATCGAACTTTGTCCAAACTTCGTTTTCAAATTAAATTTTAAGTAGAAAAAAAATAATAACCTACATACCTAATAAAACAAAAAAAATTTAACGAAAATTAAGAAAAATGTCATAGTGTATTATATCGTTGGATTCGCTTCAAAATACTGCATTTAGTAATGTTATGAAAGTGATGTTCCTATTCTAGTTTTTGAGCTAGGGCAAAATTACTAAAATAATGAAGTTCACAGCCCTCTATCAAAAAAGTTTACAAAGATAAAATTGAGTTTGTATTTTTCTGAAATTAAGTAAAGTATGTAGAGTCATTTTAGGATGATCATGGCACTCTAGTGAAAAAAATAAAATTTAATTTAAAAACAAAATTTGGACAAAACTTGATTCAAAAGTGGTGCATTAGGACGTAAAACGATCTGTAGAATCTGAAGAACAGAAAATCTACAGGATGTGCCATTTAAAAATTAAAAGTTCCGGTCATTTCCAGTGAAACCGGAAGTCAACAAAACTTGTTAATAATGTATAAAAATGGCGTTTCGTAAGAATATCAACCCTATCAAGTTTCGTTGATATCGATAGAAAAATAAAAAAATGGCAGCAGGAAAGTGATCTCGTGGGCACCCGGTATATCAAATAATGTTTATGCCACAGGATTTTGGAAATTATTGCGGATTTTTTGAGATGACCTTAAAAGGAATTTTGCAGGTGAAAACAATTCAAGCAATTACAAGTAGATGGCGCCGCGGCAGAAAAGCTACATTGGGAGCATCATAATTGAATATTTGTCTTTCTCTTTCACTGAGTGTTTCACCGACAAACAGATTTTGTTTTGGACAAAAAATAAAATATTGAACCGTATGTGTAAAGTGGCGCAGTTGCCATTTTCAGAAACTAAATTTAAACATGGCGGCCATTAACGCGGCCTTAATGATCTAATTAATTACCAGTTTTTTTTATTTTTGACATAACCCTAATTTAAATTATTATAATTTGTAAACAATTAAAATAATTCTAGTGGATTTTTATCCTCTTTTATTCCATGCGGTCTTTCATTGTGTTTTCATTTTGAAGTGAATATGGTTGGGTGTACTCGTTTGATTGGTTGAAGCTGGTTGGAATGTATTTAAGTATAAAAAAAAAGGATCGTTTTCCTGCTGGCTTTGGTTTCTGAAACGTTCTCTTTCGTTGACAGGCAGTCTGACAGGCAAGTCATCTTTTTTTTTTTTTAAATAATTTTCGCTTTGAATTTCTGGATCCTTCCTTATAGATTTTTCAATATATCTTACTAAGAATTCGTATTATCGTATCATTATTAATGTTTTACCTGATCAATCTTATCTCATCTCTTCTTGAAATATAAATATTCTATTTTAAGTTTTTTTTTTAAGAATTAAATCAAGTCAGATTTTTTTTTGGATTTTAAAAAGGTACTGCTGCTCTGGTTTTCAGAATCAATTGTTAGTGTGGGAGTATTGGACCAGTTGCTCTAAATAGAGTCGGTGAGAACCAAATTTGTGAGTCCATCCCCATAAACTCTTTATTTAATCCAGGCAGAGGCCTGAATAGCCATTTTCTGTTTGACTTCCTCAATTATTATCTCTACTAAAGGGTGTAATTTTTTAATGGAAATCCAGACAGGTCAAAAATTCAGTTAAAACGTTTTAATTAAAACATCTCAAGAATTTTGATATATTCTGGATTTGATTGATTTCACCGTCAGGTTTATCTAGTAGTATCTATTGTGGCTACCTTAATTTAAAAGGAAAATTTTGTCTATTTAGGGGAGAATCCAGAGATTTAATTTCTTATTTTTTACCTACCTTATTTTTGCTCATATTTTTGCCTGCCAGAACTGCTTTTAGGAAAGCAGAATTTTTGCTCAATTATAACGAGCATTATAATCATTATAATTTAATCTTGTTATTATTTTATTTTACTATTATCTTATCATTATTCTTAATTATTTAATTTTTTTTTTAAATTAAAATATTATTAATTTTTTTTATTTGCAATAGGTTTTTATAGGTACCTGATTCTGTTGAAAGGACTGTCTGTACAACAATCGTTTTATGTTAAATTTCAATTTTAATTTCCTTTGCTAGACACTCACTTTTTGACAGAATTCAGGAATTTAATGTTCCAAATATTGGTGAACCTAATACTGCCTTATTCTTTTCTGGGTACCTATTCTACATAAAGATCACTGTTTGGAGTCTGGATCAGCTGAAGTGACGTCACCCCAGCAATCTATCCTCTTCCTGAATACAGGAAACCACACGAAGAGCTCCAGTTCACGAAAGTGAAACCACAACACCCATTGAAGAGCTCCACATTGGAAAGGTATATGGTGTCAGATTCACCAGAACAACCAAGCTGTCAACTGTAAAATTTTACAATTTTACAGAAAGTAACATTTAACATTGACTACATAATATTGTAAACAAAATTAAATTATTGTTTGTTGGATTTTGAGTGGTTTCATTTGCACATAAGGGGGCTACACGTTATCTTAATTTTTCTTTGAATTCACGACCCTAGGTTATCTTGTCTTAAAGTAACAAATTCAATTAATTTGTAACAACGTATCTGAAATGTATTTGATGCGTTTGGTTGAGATTCAGTGTAAGTTCGGATGTTTCCGGAGTCCGGACGGGACGCACCCTATACCTAATCGAAGGTTAGAACAATTAATAAAGCAATAATGGTATAATTATCAAAAAGTTTATTCTATATGTTTTGATATTAGGTAATATTGTCAATAAGACGATCCAGATTCCCCAAATAGGCCCGTATTATAGCAGAACTTCTTTTAAAATATTGCCATGGAACATCTGTTTATACAAGTGATTTGAGGTATTATCTTTGAAACAAATAATAATACATTGATTATAGTATATTATGAAAGGTATGCTTATGGGCAAGTAAGGCCAATATGACGCCATATTATATTAAACACCTTCTTGTAAGTACATTTAGATTATCACGTTTGGTAGAGCATTATCATCATACTCCTGCAATTATGCTATAAGTACCGATAAGTTAAAATGTTCCTACTTAATATAAAGCAGTCAAAATGTTGATCAATGGGCTAATTTAGCTGATAATGAAGAAAAAAATAATATGCTGTCAGCTGGCAGATGCCCAAACTTGCCCCAAACTCGACACTAATATCAGAATACTTTTTATATTAAAATTAAAACTATCAAAATATTGCAATAATTATGATTATTGGACTAGTTAACCCACAAACGAGGGTAGTCATTTAAGCAAAATTATTTTGAAGTAAGTATTCTAAATAGCTGTTAAAATACATGTACGTAGGTACTTTGATTGGAAGAAAATCAATATCTGTATGGCAGTGTCCTTAATCTTAAAAACTACGTAGGTACCCCAAAGATTTCAAATAAAATTTAACAACAAGATAATCAAACTGGCTATTATTCTATACTTAAATGAAATATATTTTTATCATTTTTATATACAAAATGCATATAGTATAATATTAACCGTAAAAATAAATATAGCTAATAGCCTTTTACTGAACTTGTAACAATAATTTAAAAAATAATATATAAATAGACTAATAAAACATAATAGCTTATTTAATGAAATCATATAATATGAAACGTGTAACGAAACAATTCAATAATAAAATGATATAATTGATTTTGAGGCATAATAAAAACAAACTCCCAAAATGTTGTCTAGATTAAAAAAACACAAGAAATTTGAAATCTGCATCCTAAAATAGCCTAAATAGTTTAAATATATTTTTATAAAAATTCGTATAAATATTGACCATGGTATTTTTCAAATACATAATTTTGTTGCATTTGAAATAAAACATTTTCCTGTCTAGTTTACTTTCTTTCCTTCATTTCGAACGTAAGCGTCTTGCTCGTAACGATTTCCTTGACCACAGCCTGTAACGTCCATTCCGAAGAAAACTTGGTTCCCCTAAGAATTAAAATATTTTTTCAATAATTAATATTAAATATTCATGTGTACTTACTTTGTCCATGTAAGCTGTAACATAGAAGTTTCCAAAGAGGACAATGAAAGAAACCATGTAGATGATAAGTGTATAGTGCATCCACAAAGGAAACTCACAACCTGTTCTTATACCATTTACACCAAGGATCAAAGCACAAGTGAATTGGATCTAAAATGATAAATTCAAATTTAATATTGTTATTTTGTGAAGTTCGTTTATAATAAGTACTCGTGTTGGTGCATTGTATGAAATTTGCAAACTAGGTATATATACCTATCATACTTTATTTTCAATGCATGTAGTGTGAGTTGTCTTTGAATAAAATTATAAATTAAACTTACAAGTTGCAGAATTGTGAGATATTTTTTCCACCATAGATATTTGGTAACTCTTGGACCGAAGACTGAAAGGCCATAGTAGGTGTAGAGCAAAATGTGAATGGACGAATTAACCATAGCGGGCAAAAAGGCTAGAAATAAAAATAAAATAAAGGTATTTAATAATTTTTAATTTTTTCCATTGACTTTCACGCAGCAACAAAATAATATTGTTACAGTCATTGGCATTAAACATTTTCAGGTGTATATTTCGATTTTTTGTAAAATATGGATTGATAACTTTCACTACGTCAATAGTTTTTAAGTAAATTGTCTTCCGTGAAGGATTGAACTGATCAGCGCCAATCATTAATTTTTTTTTAGCCCAAAAATTTTGGTTCAACCAATCAAAGCAGACTGAATTTATTTATTTATTTTTTTTTTGCTAGAGAAAGGAATAATCTCTTTATGTAAACAGTCAATTGAAATAGTAAATGCACTTTCAATTTCTGGGCATTAAGTTGTCTTCTTCGACTTTGTTTGGTTTTGAGAAATGGCAAATTCCTCTACACAAAAGGCCAAGCGAGCTATCGGAGTCACAATCGAGATAATGATGTGTAATAGGTACTAAAGTAAACTCGTGGAACGCTGGAAAAAAAACTATTTGAATCTATGATGATGAGCCCAAATCGGCATGCAGATTTGGGCTCAACGATATACGAAAACTCTCGAAAAGGTACAAACCACATACTTCAAAACATTACTGTCCTTACCCAGATCCAGTCCGGACTGGCTAATTCGAATCTAAACTGGTACCCTGCCACTTATATTAGTTTTTAAATTGTGCCTATCGTGGATCGAAAAGCTTCTTGAGATGGAATCTACCAGATACTCCCGCTTGTGTTTTGAAAGACTCCTATATACCAAAATAAACAGTCCAAATACAACTGGGTCGCTGATGTTAGATCAATATTTACGTCAATAAACAAATGCGACATTGGGAATAACTTATCTTTAACCAAAATGAAAAAATCGGAAAAATTACTCCTAAATTCATATGCAGACTTCTTACGTCAAACTGATATCCAATCACTCCAGCTGTCCAACTACCCACAATTCTATGGTCACTTCTTAACAGACTCTAACTCGCAGTCATACCTCAAGCTAAAATTAAATACTAATTCCTCCAGATCCTTATCCAACTTAAGATTGTCTCCAAAATACACAGTTACCTTTTATTTCAACAAAATTGCCTACAAGATTGATTAGAAGCTGTTGTGTACAAGTAGTTTAAATAATAAGGTTCAAATGAGATCTCGATTTATAAACATTTGTACCTACTCTAGATAGCAAATTAAGTTGTAAAACCTGTCTCCTTGTTATTTGAAACATGAATTTAATTTCATTATAAACAATAAAGGAATAATAATAATATAATCTCCTTTATATTTGAGTTTCATTCCTCTACCTAAACATCTGTAGGTACTTCCACCCAAGTCCATAAATCATTCCATGTCCCTACCAGCAGTACTATGCTTTCCAGAGTCCTTGGAAACATGTCTTCGAATTCCGTGTGGTTCTTCTTCCGATGAAATGACGATAAGGATACTAGAAGAATGTCCATCTGCTCCTTTTTGACTGCCAAGCTGCCAGCCACCTTGTCCCGGATTTTTCTATTCTCCATAATTAGTTGACAAACATTTTTTGATGTCAATATCTCAATAACTCTTTTATAAGCTGTTCGAAGCTCCGTTTTCAATCGAAGTCTCCTTACAGAAAATCTCTCACGAGAATTCCGAGGTAGTTGTGTGGCCGTGGTCGCCTGAACAAGTAAATATATCTGCGTTATTAGGCAGTATACCAAAACAACGTTTATTTGAAAATCATACTGTTGCCAACTTCTCAGTGAAAAGGGTCATCAGAGAAGGGGCAAGATCTGAGCCATACTCTACAGTAACGTTAAAAATATCCTCTTTTTCTGCAGCGGTGGTATTCGATGAACCTTCTCAAGTTCTCTGAGAAATATGAGTGTCACCAGAAGGAGAGCGAGATCTCAGCCGTAGTCTACAGTCACTCTTAGAAAGTCCTCTTCTCTCGCATCAACGGCGACATTCGGTGCACCAGCTCCCTTTCAAGTTCGCTTGTTTGAGTTAGTTCTGGTAACAACCTTTCATGTTTATTCCTGAAGCTCCCTCATTATTGTGTCTTCCATATCTATCCACCATCTATTGTTTCTGTTTTGTCTCGTAGTGACACAGCTCTGGTCTTTGGTTCGGATATCTTGCGGCTTCGGTTTCTAGAGCTTTCATTGAAGCTTTTTCATTATTCTTATAGTTTAGTTGTGAGCAGCGTTCTCTATACATCCAGATCTATAATTACATTGTTGACATTATCGGCCGCTAGTTGTTCTCGCATTTCTGTTTCAGGTAGGCCAAGTTAAGTGTTGAACTGAACCGTATCAGTTTTTAATAGGTCTAAGACAAGGCTATGCAATGCTACAGTTTAGCCTGTAGTCATGTTATGAGTGCTCCAACGGTTAGCCATCGTAACAGTCTCAAACTGACGCCTGTATGTACATCGCCCACGATGTCTGTTAGTCATATGGTGGTGGCGTAATTTTATTATTGGTTTCAGATGACGCAGAGACATTTCCGAATTTGTGTGATGAACACTAGTCATTTCTTGGCAGAAAGTTCCAACTTCCTAACATCCAGTTCCAACTTCCTAATAAACAGTACTCACTTTCTGTCGAAGATCTCCACTTTTTCCACGTATTTATTTCATCGCATTCATGAATTCAATAACTTGCCCTTCCAGGATTTTCCCGAGTTTGGTTTATTACTCAGAGATTACGGTTTTCCGCGGTTTCCGATCTTCGATCTTCTTGCTGTTATAAAGGTGCTCAAGCCGGTCTATTCTGTTTTTCGGGCTTCTTCTTCTTCTACGCTCTTGTTCAGCACAAACTTATCTATATGGGTTCCGTCTTGATACAATTGATGCATTCTTCAAAATTCGTTCAAAAAAATCCGGCCTTCTAAATGTAATTCTATGGAACAATAGTAATATACATTTGTATTTCAAAGAGCCCTTCCATCATTTTTATGATAGTCTTATTTTTTATGTATACAGGGTACTTTTTAAGGCTTTTAATATTTCTCTCCAATCGCTTACCCATTGCTTCAATTTGCAGGTAATACTGAAAAATGATCTCGATGACCATTATTTTGACAAAACTACGAAAAAAGACATACGAAGGGGTCCAAGAAGATTCAGAATGCAGGTAACGAGACCCTAGCATCGGAGAACTTGTGAATAATTTCCAAAGAGCGAAAAGTGTTGCTTATAAGAATCGTTCTTTTGCGCTAGCAACATTAGCAGCAGACCAGATACTGTTACGTTCATAAATTTCCTTGTGACAATTTCAGGCATATTTTGTTGTTATTAACCTCTTCATATGATTATATTCTGGTACGGCACTGTCCTTCCGCAGCAACCGAGATTTTGGTCGATATGCGCCCAAGTTTCGGGTACCTTCCATGGTACTTTGCATCGTAGCAACAGCGGTTGTTGATAGTTAAATATTTTGTTGCTAAAACGCTTAGAATCGACTCCGAACATTTTTCGGTAATTTAGGGGTTCACCAATAGTTGTCGCCGCCGGTACTATCGGTAGAATATTGCTCGATACTATCTTGAAAATTTGATTGAGCTGGTAGATGGCGTCAATGCGTCATATTTCAATTATTTGGAAAATTCAGAGATTTTATGGATTCTGTGGCCGTGGTTTCATATGGGATCCATTGATTCGAAGTATCTAATAAGGGGACAAGATGCGGTTATTGGTTGTTTCTTGAAGGGACGTTTGTCTTGTGCTACTGACACTTATTTTTAAATAAGGCGCGCTTCTCTACGCCATTGGGTGCGGTGGACGTGTGACAGGGGAGTCTGGTAGAAAGCGACAAGGTGACCAGGGCTGGAACTCTGTAACGGATAGAGAGATTTTCTCCATCTCTATTGACGTCGCCTCTTTATTAATTTGGACGAGAGTGAGAAAGACAGCAAGTGCCATAGCGATAGGGATAACGATCTCTATGCGTCACAGAGTTCCACCCCAGGTGGTTTTGAATCCAAAGATCGCACATAAGGGCTGAATTGCTCAAATTGGAGACGATTATCCACTATTGTGGGATTTGTGCGAGAGGATCTGACGGTTCTCTGTACCCCTGTATCCAATACAGCCCCTTTGGAGAATCCTCCAAGGGCCTCTCAGAGACTAAGGTATTCCTCCACATGGTTTTATTGGTGGTGATGTCCAGGTGGTTTGCCATTCCAATTTATATTGGAATTTGGCCGTAGTCCGCGGTTCACGGTGCCTTCCAGCTTATGTGAATACCAAGTGCCAGACTGGTTAGAAAATCTTTCTCTGGAAGCGTCTCAAAGGTCTCCCTGACCTAACTCCTTAGACCAACAAGCTTGGACCTTCTGCAGTTATCCGAACAAACGATAAGTACCCCGCTGTGGGAATTTCGCTTTTACTGGTACTAATTTCATATTAAATTAAATAAGCACTAACCTAAGTTGCATTTGCTCATTATGTTTGCATAATGTTTTAAAGGCAAATGCTAGTGTAAAGTGGGGGAATCTCACACTTCAGTTCAAAAGATCGTATAGACTATATATATTAAGCCATATAATCCCGTCTAAAGTGCCATTGGAACTTTAAGTGAACCTAGTATAAGGCTGAACAAGCAACAACTCTGCCCCAAAAGCTATATGTACATATATAGGGTGGTCCAAAAAAAACCGGAATTTTGTTTTTGAGCTGTAACTTTTTTATTTGTTGACCAATTTTCTTTTGTTTTGGCTTGTTTGAAAGAGAAATGAACAGACTAACGAATCAGGGTGAAACTTTTGACATTTGAAAAAAATCCAAAATGGCGGACTCCTTCAAAAATTGCCTAGTTTTGGATAGCGCTGGAACTTTTTTGTGACACCCTGTATAAGTTTTTTTAATAAATTCTTAAAGTTCATCATTTTGCGAACATTTTAAGATCTCGACAGAAAAAATCGGTTGAAAACTAACTGAAATATTGAATTTTTGGTAATATCGAATTTCAATTTTTTATATTGACAGCTAAATCTAGGATATGCTA